TATAAAGGGTCCCACCTTGACATCCCTGCGCTGCAAGTTGGTGAAATTATAATCATCAATGGTGCTCAAGTCAATCTGACACAACTACTGATCACTCTATAGCGGGTCTCACCTTGACCTCCTGGTGCTGTGCGTTGGTGGGGTCGTAGGCGTCTGTGAGGCACCACTCGTACGCCGCAAAGCACTGCCCCGGCTTCAGCACTCGCTTCACCTCGCTGTAGCACCCCACCTGGAGGGATATACACATATAGGATATAGGACAGTCGGGTTAGTGTAGGGCAAGCAGGATAGGTGGGGTCGAACTTGTGGTATGCTGTCCCTGTAGCAGTCCGATACTCCTTCACAGTCCAGGCGTCCACCCATCAACAGCACACTCGCAACATCAGGGGGGTGGCATGTGGCTTTGACAGAGTCTATGGCTTCAGAAGAGGCATCCGGCATGGCAAGGGGATGCTCATGATAAATGTCAGGTTTTGAGAATAAATGAATAAAACCTGGCGTTTTTCCTTCAGTTGCGGGACCCACCACACGGGTCCCACACAGAACCCGATAAGAACCACAGTCAAGACCCTGACGTGTCTCCGCACAGGCGGACATTTCACGAGGCGACTCACTGCGTCGGGCACTGGCAGGTGGCCTCAATGGTGTAGACGGCATAACAGGGCGCATCGGGCACGTGGATGGTCATGAAGAGGAGTCCACACCACACGCGTCCAAGCTCAAAGCTCGACAGATCAACAGGGCGTGGCACTCACAGCGTCAGGCGCGTGGCACGTGGCTTCGATGGCGTAGACAGCATCAAAGGACGCGTCGGGCACGGGGATGCTCATGAAGTCCGCCTTGATGAACCCGCACGCCTCCAGGCAGCGGTGGCGGCGGTTCAGCACCTGTTATGTGTGAGTGGAAGGGAGGGAGGGGGCCGTGAGAGCACTGCACAGGACAGGCCGCGGCGCCTCGGGATGCGTATGATGAGCCCGCATGCTTCCAGAGTGCGGTGCTGATGGTCCAGCACCTCGCGAGTGGGTGGAGGGGAGTGGGGGCGGTGGCAAGAGTGAGGAGAAGAGACAATGGCGTGAGAAAGTTTCTGGCGGTGAGGCAGCATACAGCTGGCGGAATCTGAACGGAGGATGTTCTTGGTGGTCTGTGCATTGGAGGAGTCATGAAGACAGTCTTGATTCGTTCAATATATATGTATGAACATATGCAAGGTATACGTGTGCATGCATGCATCCATGTGTGTATGCATGTATGTATGTACGTGTGTGTGTGTCTGTGTGTGTGTGTGTGTGTGTGTGTGTGTGTGTGTGTGTGTGTGTGTGTGTGGATGGACAGATGGATGGATGGAAGGGGAGACGCACCTTGCCACGAGAGATCTGGTACTCGTTGTTGTTGAGCCCCGTCACTGTGGCGCCACTGTGTGATGTGGCACGCGGAGGGACAGACGGATCAGGGGACACAGGACCATTCGGGAGGGAACAGGGGTGGGACAGGGGGCACATGCGCGTTTGTCAAAGAATACTGAGTAGGGAGATGGAAGGACGCAGAGCGGTGGAGGGGTCAAAGTGAATGCCCAAAACATAAATCATAAAGAGAGACACATGTGGAGCGCATTCAAAAGCAGGGGAGGGGGGAAAGGGAGGAAGAGAGCTCAGGAATGAGGCGGAGGGGTTTAGGGGCAGAGTGGGCAGAGGTGAAGCAGTGCGGGTGGGGCGTTGTTGGAGTGGAGGGGACACATCTTAGCCGGAATCGAAACGTTGCATTGTGAGTTCAAAGCACGGGACTACAAAATCAGCCGTGCTCTGGCTGTATTCGTGGCTGGCAACGGCCGTGGCTGTGCTTGACGCGGCATGTGCTCTGGCTGTGGTTGCGGGTGGCAATGGCCGTGGCGGTGCGTGACGGCGGCGTGCGGTGTGGCTGTGGGCGAACCTGAAGATGGCGATTTCTCTCAACGGCCCGCCGATGCCACAACCGACATCCAGCACCTGATGGGGCGCGCACGGTGGGCAGGTTTGACACAGTGAGGTGCAATGAGGCGAGACGGGTGGGGTGCAACAGCGTGGGTGGGAGAGAGGGGCAAGAGAAGGCACGGGGCATGAAGATTCCAAGAAGGGGGGAGGAAAGAAGGGTCGAGAAGGAGGCAAGCATAATTGGGTAGCAGACAGCAAAAATTATACCATGCACCAGGTAGCGAGTGGACTTAGAGAACGACTGACATGGACCGCTAGAGAGGTAAACCAGGTGTGCAAGGCGTAGAGCAGCATGTGGGTACGCCCCTTGATGCCTGAAGGAAATCACTGACCTTCATGCCGGGGCGAAGCCCGAGGCGAAGAGCCAGGAAGTGCTCGTGGCGCTTGATGCTCTCCCGTAGGGTCTCGCCCCTCAGCCTGACACATGGATCAGCGCATCAACGATGCAGTGTGTGGCAACGCAGAGGCATTGGACGTCTTGTGAGGGCCCCAAGCATTGCAAAGCATGCATCCCTGAGATCCGTTGCTCGAAGCGTTGAAAGCATTGACTACTGAGACGTCTTTAACCGAGAGCATGATCCAGGGTCGCATGCAAAGGAGTGCGCTTGAAGCGCTTGGAGCGCTTGAGCTCCACAACGGCTGGCACGGGTCATTGTACCATGTATGTATGCCGCGCACAGCAAGCTCGTTCCAGTGCATGCGCCCCCCAGAATGCATGTGCCCTCCAGAGTGCATGTGCCCTCCAGAGTGCATGTGCCCTCCAGAGTGCATGTGCCCTCCAGAGTGCATGTGCCCTCCAGAGTGCATGTGCCCTCCAGAGTGCATGTGCCCTCCAGAGTGCATGTGCCCTCCAGAGTGCATGTGCCCTCCAGAGTGCATGTGCCCTCCAGAGTGCATGTGCCCTCCAGAGTGCACGTGCCCTCCAGAGTGCATGTGCCCTCCAGAGTGCATGTGCCCTCCAGAGTGCATGTGCCCTCCAGAGTGCATGTGCCCTCCAGAGTGCATGTGCCCTCCAGAGTGCACGTGCCCTCCAGAGTGCATGTGCCCTCCAGAGTGCATGTGCCCTCCAGAGTGCATGTGCCCTCCAGAATGCATGTGCCCTCCAGAGTGCATGTGCCCCCCAGAGTGTATGTGCCCCCCAGAATGCATGTGCCTCCCAGAGTGCATGTGCCCCCCAGAATGCAAGTGCCCCCCAGAGTGCACGTGCCCCCCAGAGTGCATGTGTCCCCCACAATGCAAGTGGCCCCCAGAGTGCATGTGCCCCCCAGAATGCATGTGCCCCCCACAATGCGTGTGCGTCAGTGGAGGTCGTACCTGTGGGCGAAGTGGAACGACTCTCCCCAGCCGTATTCGTAGAAGCTGGTTACCAGATCGTAGTACTTGTTCACCTGGAGGTGTCCAGACAGGGAGAGAAAAGGGGATAGGGTGGGGAGGGGGGAGAGAGACAGGGGGGGGGGGTGGGGGGGGGGGAAGAGAGAATGGGAAAGAGACGGGCGAGCGGGGGTGGAGGTGTGTGGTGGTAGTCTTGTTTGCACAGCTACAGACCAAACAGTTCACGAAAAGTTTTGTTCCGCATACCAGTTGGTTGGTAGGCCACCACATTGACCGTCCCACCGAGCAGTCGAGCTGATCACATGCCATGTCGGTGTAGTTGACATCTGCTCTGCATAGCATTTGGTTGGTAGGCCACCACATTGACCATCCAACCAACCCGTCGCGCGGTAGTTGTCACGTACCATGTCGGTGTAGTTGGACTTGCGAGAGTTGTCGCTGCCTCCAAAGCTCTCGTGGTAGTTCTCATAGCTGCAGCAGGCAGAACAAAAACGCAAAGGCAAGGACCGGAGAACGCATCAGAGTGCCGCGCGTGCCAGAAAGCACGACGTTGGACATGACAAAACGAGAGCGTCAGGAAGCGGCTCTAGAGGACATCAACGAGCAGACGAATCAGGTAAGATAGACAGTGGATGTGACGTGAGGTACGATGACAATGCCGGTTACATGGATCGATAAAGAAGTTTAAATCAGTTCGTTGGCTTGACCATTAGTTCGTTAGTCGTTAGTTCCGTAGCCTGAATAGGTGGAGAGGGTTCATCCTCGTTAGTGCAGAGGGTTCATCCTCGTTAGTGCAAGCGAGAACCCTATGTAGAAGCTGCTGAATGCCCATATAACCTTCCATAAAAGCAATGCTAAACAACGCATTGCTGCAGAGGGGTTAAAAGAGCGTTCTATGGCAGCGAGCTCACCTGGAGACGGCCTGCTTGACTTCGTCCTTCTTTATCCACCCGCCTGTCTTTGTGGCCAGGCCGACCGTCCCGGTCAGACTCTGCGTCTCCTCTGACATGGCGGCTGCTGTGTATCCGGGGAGGACTCCGAATGAAGATCGCGAACTCAAAACTGTAACCGCGATCGGGTTCACTTTCAACCTCTGACCAGAATCTCACAGCAGCCTGCTTCGGACAGGCTCGTGACAAGAGAGACAATTCAAAAAGCTTTTCTCGACCTTGTTGGCTCAAAGAGGCTGACAGGAGTTGAAGGTGTGAAAATGGAGGGAAGCGTTCTTGAGAACAAGGGGATTCACGCAAACAATGGATGCTGCGAAGAGATAATGGAATCGACGGTCGCCGATGGTTGGCGGACATGAGCTGGAATGCATTGGACACCCTTCATTGGCTGATCCGGTCCAGTGGGTGCTTGCCAGGATCTGGTGGTCCAGGGAATTTCTGCGATGCGATTTACGAGACGGGAATCCAGCCATGCGAATAAAGACGAGATTCGCAGGAGGCCCTAGTGTACCACCGACAGGGAAAAGGTTTTCATTGTGCGGCTCGACTCTATTCCCAGCTTGCCGGAGGGCTTGAGGCTGGGTGGGCAAGTGTGACACGCGTGAGATCCACAACTCCGACTGCGTTTGTACTCTTCATTGGCAACAACGATAACGAACAAATGCACCATCTGAAAGCCACTCTTGTACACCGTAGCGCCCAAACTTCACCAATCATATCGCAAAAGTTAATTTGTTGTCTTACACTTGTCACATACATTGTACATTGATTCGAAAGCATGCAAACAAACGACAATTCCTGTACACGATAACTGTTAGCTAATTCACATATCAAGCCCTATCCATCCAACAATCAGTATTTCCTGGTAATCTACTCAGCCACCACCAATCCAGCTTCACGTAGGGGTGTCAGTGTACGAAGCAGGTGGCGACATCACACTGCTAACCCCTTCAATGTCAAACAGCCGATCTTGCCGCACACCCGACCCACCAGGCACAGGCAGCGGGGCACTATGCCCCTCACCACTCCCGATCCCACCACCAACCCCTCCAACTCCACCAAAACCGTGGTTCTGCGAGTATGGGTCTGAGTCTGCCTGCGGCACGTCCTGGCAGCTCTCTACGTAGATGAAGCCCTTGCCCACGTACAGCAGCAGCGCGGTGGAGAGCAGACACATGGCCGTGAAGAAGAAAAACTCCTGGGTTTGGGAGAGATGCGAGCCCACTGTGCCGACCACCACTGCTGTGAAGAGATTGCCTGGGGAAGGCAGTGAGAGGGGAGAGAGAAGAGCGGAGAGACATGAAGAGAGAGGGGCAGAGCAGCAGCCACGGGTGGAGAGCAGGCACATGGCCGTGAAGAAGAAAAACTCCCGGGGTTGAGAGAGGTGCGAGCCGACAATGCCGACTACCACAGCTGTGAAGAGATCGCCTGGAGAAAGCGAAGAGAGGAAGACAGAGGGAGGAGCGGGGACACAAGGTGGGGAGCTAGACCATGAAGAAGAAAAACTGTGCATCTGGGAAAGCTGCAAAACTCCTGAGCCTGAGCTCTGTGTTGGTTCATCTATTCCTTGTGACTCTCTTTTTCAAACCGCTCTTTGAGGCACATTGTGGCTTGACAGCAGCCACGGTGAGGCACCGCCACAAGGCAGTGACGACAACAGTCAGTCATGAGGTGACTTTTGAGTCGACTCAGAAGGCACTGACAAGAGCAGCCAACCATGCTGGCAGGCGCTGGGGAATACGCACTGCCTCATTCCACAGCCACAGAGCAACTCCCAGCCCCTTGATGCTGAGGAGGAGGAGGATTCCCGCCTGTGTCTCGTTGTGCTTGACAGACGGATAAGAGAAAGATGCCCACATGCATGCTTCAAGCAAGCAAGCCCCACCTCCAGCCACGGTGCAGCACCAGAAGGCAGTGACTACCGCAGTTGTGCTGGCAGGGCGCCTGCGAGTATGCGAGCTGGAGCCCAGTGATGCTGGAGAGGATATCCCCCGCTGCCAAGATCACGTACTGGGGCACCCACCCCAGTACGAACAGCTGCACTCTCCATACGGAATTCTCACCTCCAGCCACGGTGAGGCACCAGAAGGCAGTGACGACAGCAGTCATGCTGGCGGGCGCTTGAGAGTACGCGAGCTCGAGGCCCGTGATGCTGAAGAGGATCTCCCCCGCCGTCATGATCACGTACTGCGGCACCTGCCACGCCAGCGACACACACGGCGGGCTCCCGGGATCCCCACATGCCTGCAGCACATGCCGGCTGGCGTTGCCTGCTGGCCCTGCTGCTCCTGCTGCCACTGCCATCAGTCCTCCTGCCCCTCCTGCTACTGCTGCCCCTCCCGCTGCCAGCAAGTCCCCCCCCCATCCGTCCATCAGAGGCCCGGCCAGGGCCGGCCCAGCTATACTGACGGCACTGCTCAGGGTAACATTGCTAGTCACGTTGGCAAGGCTGCCGATG